CGTCTTCAGAGGCGCTCCGTCAAACGAAGGGTCCACGGTACAAACCTCAGGGGAGGGGTCCTTGTGAAGAAGGGGGAATGGCCAAGTGGGACTCTGGAGTCTGTGGCCAGAAAATGATTGCCCTGGGTTCTTTTTTTTTTTTTTTTGAGTTTATGATGTTCAGGTGAACGTAGCGTTTCTGCTGGTCTCCAGCGGCATTCCCATGCCTTCTGCTGAGCTGTGGCCCTGTGCAGGCGACCAGGAGCGTGGGCTGCCGTGGCAGGGGACGCGAGGAGCTAGCTGAAGATGGGTGATGTGCAGGAGCCAGGGAGACGCACCCCTTCCCGCTGCCCTCTCGCCGGAGGCGCGTTGCTCAGTCCCACGATCCCCTCCGTTACAACCGCACGCGAAAACGAGTCACCAAAGCATTGGTTTCACAGTAGCCGGCATTTTTTCCCTTCACTTGTTGTGAAAGAACATGGCAGCCCGGATTTGTTCAAACCCCGATAAAGATTGCACAAACATTATGTTTCTGCCCTACGGCCAAGTAGAAAGCCAATAGCTCTTTATATTACTATTTTTTTTAAATGGTGAAACTCCTGGGGAGGGAGGGAACACTTTGCTGTACTTATTAAAATTGATAACAGGAGCTCCATATCCTTAGGCTGACAAATGATACCCTGGTTTTTTGTTCCACACGCTAATTTTACTTGCTTCACGCTGGTCACTAGCAGATGGTCTTGTACTTAAATCATGTTAGTGGCTGATAAGAAGTAAAGGATCATTAAATTATTAACATCTATATTGTTTTCAGTAAACTGCAGAGGATTTTAAATATTTCTCTCTGTGCTAGCTAAAATGGCAACCCATCTCGCTAACCTTCATTGCAATATATACACATAATACCGTTGTTTTAAGGAATATGGTTTTAAAGAATATGGCACTTTGTTCCGTGGTATGCCACCATGGAACAAAAGTGCATTTTTGGAATCAAGTTTATCTACTTGAAATGGTTATTAACCTAAATGGTTTGGGTATTACATCAAAGAGGAGTCAAGGGAAAATCCTCCAATTTAAATTGCATTTACCAACTTCTGTATTGGTTTTACTGTTTAGTATCTAACCCGACATAAATGTAGCTGGCAGACAAATAGATTGGAGCATGCAAATTCTTCCTATTCTGCTATTTTTTTTTTGTGCACCTGGGTATGAAATATGGCACAACAACTGTTGGGTTTATGTTCCAAGGAGGAATCTCCTTGTTTACTTTCTTTCTTGTTTCACTGTTTCCTACAGGGCAGAGTTCAGCTAGAGCAGGGCTCGCTCACGATAACGAACATCAGCCTGTCAGATGCTGGCATGTATCAGTGTGTAGCGGAAAACAGATATGGCATTATTTTTGCCAGTGCAGAACTGAGTGTCATAGGTAAGTGTACTTTCCTGAACGCTGCAAACCTTCCAAAACAAGCAAAGCCTTCACCCAAGCTGGTTTTGCCACGTTTCACCATCTGAAGCAGAAGAGTTGCTGAGGATCTTTGATAACTTGTTTTTAAGTGAGGTTTTTAATGTTCAATGTTTTAAGTAAAGTTTTTAATGAAAACTTGAGAAAGTGGATAGACAAAGAACAGAGTTTTTTATATCATCCCATCTTTTCATATTCATCCAGGCGACTGAGCATGGAGAGCTGGTAAGCTCACTCAGCTCTTGCTGGTTAGAAAGGTTTTATGGAGAAACCCCGAGTATTGCCCCAGTTCGGAGCATACCGGACAGTAACGGCCTGCTTGTGGGCTGCAGAGACCGACACTCTTGAGGAAATGTTGAAAAACCACCTGTCTGAACAGACCTTTCACCGTTTTAATGACAATCGTAACACTCCTGTCCCAAACCCTCCCCAAGAAAAACAATTTGTGCCCCACCTGTTTTGTGTACACCTACTCTACTTGTCCCAGTTAACATCAGGAAAGACTCCTGTGAATGCAGGTGGTGAAACGCCTGACGGGAGGGAGCAAAGATTGCAGAGCCAGGCCCAGTGCCAGGAAACTGAAACACAGGAAATGCCACTTAAATGCAAGAAAAACCTTTTTACCATGAAGGTGGTCGAACGCTAGACCAGGCTGTCCAAAAAGATTTTGGCGTCTCTGTCCTTGGAGATACTCAACACCCAACCAGACACGGCCCCGGGCAACCTGCTTGAGCAGGGGTGGGACGGGAGCATCTCCAGGGGTCCCTGCCAGCCTCAGCCGTGCTGGAGTCTGTACCTCATTCACAAACGTTGCTGTTGTACAAGCAGCAGGCCTGGGAACGGAGACGCCAGCACAGATACGTAGTTTCGAAGGGTTAAATAGAATTCGTGATTACAGAATAGTGCTTTAGTTGTTTTCAAAGCGAGTGTTCAATAGCATCATTCGCTGCTTTATCCTGAAGAGCAAAGCATGAGGTCTTCTCTGATTATGGCCTTTTCAGTGTCGTTGAATATCGATATCAAAATGGTCATTTTTTTATCAGCAGCGATAAATGCCCGCATAGAAAAAAAATTCATTTGAAAGATTGTCATTGTTGCTGTTCAAGAAAAATACAATAATGCTCAATAAATTAGACTTCACAGTGCTAAGATTTATTGGATGTGTTACTGCATGAAAGAAATTGAAATAAACCCACTGATACTTTTCCTCTCTCTTCAAAATCCTGGCAAAAATGAGTCTTTGGGAGGAAGGCAGGTCTTGGAAGATGGATCTGCTTAGCCCTTGGTGATGGGTGCCTCCTCATGCCTGGCAGCCCTGCAGCACCCAGGTGCTGACCTCACGTCTGCACAAAAACCAAAGACCTTGGAGAGCCTGCTCTTAAAAACCTGCCAGATAACTTGTATTTGGCTGACTTCTCATTTGGGTTATTCAATCTTGCTTCTGTATCTCACATGAGAAGTGCCAGAATGGTGTGCTGCAGATGAATTTCTATGGATCTGTAATTTAATTTGGCATATTTAGAAGCTATGCTAAGGCACGTGGAGGGGACAGGGAGATGGTTAGAGACAGCCAGCATGGCTTCACCACGGGCAAATCCTGCCTGACCAACCTAGGGGCCTTCTATGATGGAGTGACCACATCAGTGGACAAGGGAAGAGCTACCGATGTCATCTGTCTGGGCTTCTGTAAGGCATTTGACACAGTCCCCCACAACGTTCTTCTCTCTAGATTGGAAAGAGGTGGATTTGATGAGTGGACTGTTGGGTGGATGAGGAATTGGTTGGATGATTGCATCCGGAGGGTAGTGGTCAACGGCTCAATGTCTAGATGGAGATCAGTGATGAGAAGCATCCCTCAGGGGTCCATATTGGGACCAGTACTCTTTAATATCTTCATCAATGACATAGTGGGATCGCGTGCACCCTCAGCAAGTTTGCAGATGACACCAAGCTGAGGGATTCGGTTGACACGCCTGAGGGACAGGATGCCATCCAGAGGGGCCTGGACAAGCTCAAGGAATGGGCCCATGTGAACCTCATGAGGTTCAACAAGGCCAAGTGCAGGGTCCTGCACCTGAGTCAGGGCAACCCCTGGTATCAGCACAGGCTGGGGATGAAGGGATTGAGAGCAGCCCTGCCGAGAAGGTCTTGGGGGTCCTGGTGGGTGAAAAGCTGGACATGAGCCGGCAATGTGTGCTCAACCTGCTCTAGTTAAAGATGTCCCTGCTCATTGCACGGGGGTTGGACTAGATGGCCTTAAAAGGTCCCTTCCAACCCAAAGATTCTGTGATTCTGTATTTTTAAAGAAAAACAGCATGTGTTTCTTTTCACCAGGCTTTTCAAAGGACATCAACATTCTGAGCTGTCGCTGAGAAATGTTAGCTTTTAAACAGATCTTTCTGAGTATAAAAATGGTTATTTTAACAAGTCCTGAAGTTAAGCACTTGAAATGATTAAACACCACTAATAGCAAGTGAGACTTACAGCAAAATTAAGTGAAAAAGAGAAATGGAAAATTACAGACAGAGCTTTTCTCAGAGTGATTCTTCTCTATTATTGTTGCCAATTATATTGCCTGGACTATTCAGCTAAAACAGGGATCCTGTTGTGCTGGGCATTGTGCAAATGTATAGAGTTTTCAAGCTAAATGGTTTTAATAAATAAATAAACAAACAAATAAATAAATAAATAAAGAGTGGCCTTAGCGTGAAAAAAAAGTAATTAAGATCCTGATTTTACAAACAAGGTGTGAAGAAATTAAATGCATTACCCCTGAAGTGGCACAGGGAAGCTGTGGTATTGCTGAGAGCTGAGCCCAGAGTTTCTGAATGTCAGTTGACAACATTTTGAACATCATAGAGTAAAATCCATATCATGAAACTCCTCTACCTCACGCAAGACCAAGACAGAAATAGCAAATGACTTGCAAAAAAACCAGTCTAAACTGTTCATTACAGAGATGGAAATAACATGATTATTCAGAAATCTATTTTACCCATAAATTTTGGAGAATCATTTGAAAAATTATTTCCAGAAATGATACAGTATTAATTATGATAATACGATACAAATAATAATCCATCTGGTTCTGATTGCATTGGTGGGAAGTCGTCCTTTAATTTTGAAGCGTTTTACATAGCCAGTGTTGGTTTTCAGATGGCTCTGTTTAGTCTTTAATAGCATACGTGTTTTCCTCTGTGCTAAAATGAAGTCAGCCGTCTATGATTAGACATAGAAGACAAGACAGCTCAGAGATTAGTGAACTCTGATTCATGAACGTGGAAGACAAGATCTATTTGATCGTAAAGCCCATCCCATTGTCAGCGTAGGATTATGTTTTATTCAACTCCTTTGCAACAGGAACAATATCTGTAAGAATTGAGCTGCAGACCAGATGCCCTAAGAAAAGTGAATTTGCTTTCTGTATCATACGGCAGGTCTTTGTCTCCCAGCTGCTTCAGGTGAGCTTTAGATCATTTCACGGAGCATCAAGCAGACGCAATCGTGGTGATCTAAACTCTCACCTCCCAGAGTGCAGCAAGAAAGTAAGTCAAGGAAAGTGCTGCAAGCTTGGGGGATACGGGGATGGGGCGGGGGCACAGGGTGCAGGCACACAGCTGGCAAAAGGGTGGAGAGAATTAGAGGGGACTGGGCAGAGTTTGCTGCCACTGATCTGTCAGAAAGCAAAGATGTAGCGGCAGGGCAAGAGTTGTTCATAAACCCCTTAAGCTGCCTCGCCTATTTGCTTTGAGCTTTCTGTATTAAAAAAATTAATTGTCCCACTTGATATAAATAAAATCTTCTGGGCACCTTCAGGGGGTTCGTTACCAGAGTCAGTCTAGAGGCAGCCGTCTCAAAGCTCTGCTCGTCATCGGGTCCCATCAAATCTTTAAAAATCCTTTGAGGCCTGAATCAGAAACCAAACAATCTCCTCCTCCCTCCCTGGCGTGCCTTACAGCCAGGCTGCAGACCGTCTGCAGGGCTTTGGTGGCTGCTGCTATGAATATCTGACCGTTTTTCACAAAATAGAAGAATGTGCCCTGGAGGGACTAAAAAAGCATGATTCGAGAATACCTTGTACGCTGGTGCCTACTTAAGTCTTGCCTCGTTTTGCTTGGTTCAGGACCTGGCTGTGTCAAGGTCTCCCACCTTTGTAGCATTAAAATAAAAGACCCAGTTTCTGCAACAGTTGTGAATGTGAAGCATAAAATGTCAACTTTTCTGGAAATACTAACATTTCTGATTAATTATATGGGATCTGTGTTTGTGCCAATTTTCCTGTATGCTGTGGCTCTGCACGTAGCAACGTTCGACAGAATGATGATCACGCTGTTATGACACAAAAAAGGAAATACATTATACAGGTCACGCAGGCATCGTTCTTCGGGGTGCTGCCCCGATGAGATGTGCCTGACACCGGGTTGCCGCTGCCTGCCGAGTTGCTGGTTTCTGAGGTTTGCGCCTGACCATGCATTTCTAAACAAGCAAAGAGCAGAAGCATTCAGGTGTCTCATTGCCCCATCCATACGTGCACATAGTTCATAAAGTCAGATCATTTAGGAATTACAGGTGAGAAACAGCCCTGTAATATTATAAAGTTCAAAAGAGCCTGACTTTGGTTTTTCCAGAGGGAATTCTGATCTGGTTTGTTGTTGGTTTTTGTTTTTTTTTTTCTTTCAGCCGTCGGTCCAGACTTCTCCAAAACACTCTTGAAAAAGTTAACTCTTGTTAAAGTGGGTGGTGAAGTAATCATTGAGTGTAAGCCGAAAGCTTCCCCCAGACCTACTTATTCTTGGAAGAAAGGAAAAGACATCCTACGAGAAAATGAGAGGTAACGTCTTAAAGTAACCATTTCTTGCATTAGCTTGCTCCGACCCAGGGGCTTTCAGCAATGAAAGCTAAATTCGTCATTAATAGCTTCCCAAAATTGACTTGCAAATAAATGTGAAAACAGCTAGCGTTCAGTCTCAAGGAGCTGGGGGTGAGATTTCTGTTCCCATTGTGTTCATCCCAGACTCTGTGTACTATTAAAGCATTGCTGCCAAGAAGCCAATAAAGATACATTCTAAAAAGCAAATATTTTGCTTCTGCGTTGCTCTAAATAGCCATTGTTTTTCAAAAAATTCCCCAGGAGATAAAAACCCTCCACTGCAAATTACACACTGCTCTGCTACATTACTCAATGTCCCGCAAACAGGGATTATTTGGGGTCAGTAATTAATTTGGCAGTCCTAACGTATGACTTGGAGACGGCTTTTTCAGACTGGCCAAGTCATGTTTTTGGGGTTTTTTTTTTTAATTCAAGAGGAGAGCATTAGCAGTAAGTAGGAACCTGTCTTTCAAATTTGCATGCGTTTGCAGTGATTTGTTGTTGACTCTGCAGAGGTGTGGTTGTGTTACCTGTCCTGCTTGCGCAGCACCTGAGGGCGGGACCCGGAGAGCTGTCTTTGACAGTCCTCCAACATGTGATGTGCCACTCTGATTGATGGGAAAAATCCTGTCCCATTAGTAAAGGTCAAAAAGCCAGAAATCACAGGAAATTGTTATTTTTAAAAGCTTAAACCTGTTAGAGCTGTTCTTCTAGCTTGGAAAGTCTAGTCTTGTTCCATCCAATCTGCCTGCCTGTAATGGACATGAAAATACATACTATGGTGATGTACACAAGTATGTGGAAAGCTATAGTTCATTTAGAGCCTGATGAGAAAAATAATAAAAAACCTATTTCTGACGTATTTACCTGCTGTTACTTGGTCTGTACAAAGCTATTGTCTAAGAGAAGTCGCCGACTTCTCTTGGGATAAAAGAGTTAGGTGTTCAATTACGCAGCGCTTCCTCTAGCAGCCAGGGTACAAAGCTGTGCGAGGTCAAGTTATAATAGATGAAGGTATATTGATTTTTAAAACTGAAATAACTTGTTCTTCTGGTGAAGATTGTGCAGAGGTTCGGAAGTATTAAATACTGGAAGTTTTGGAGCGTCAGCCCCATGAGCGCCCATCCATCTCCTCGTCCTTGCTGGCACAGTCCGTAGCTGAAATGTGCTGTTTTCTCTGACGCTGTTCTCCTAAGCATGGCACAGTTACTTCTCCTCATTTTAATCTAGGAGTGAGAGAAGAAGCATTTGTTTATTTGAGGAAGGGCTCAGGAAAGGAAGGAAAGTGAGCAACCATGTTTCTCTCTTGGTCGCTGCTGTGCAATGCTGACAAGTGATTTATTTTTTTTGTAGCACTGCTCTCTCATTTGCAAACTTATCTAAAAGTTGGGTGCTGTAATGAAGCAGAAACCCCTGGATCCTGATTTCCCAAGACAACGTGGCTCGTGCACTGGTAGCCTAAGGCTGGGCAGCAGGTCGGGTTGCCTGCGTGTTTACTGCCAGATAGCTTTTGAACTGGTTATTTGAACTGTCTGTAGATGTTTCAAGCTGGTTTCCACCAAGGTTAAGAGAGGAAGAGATACACCTCGAAAATAGGAGATTTCTCCGAAGCTTCGTGAAAACAGGCAACTAGGAAAAGGAGGCACCATTATTTCCCTTCAGTGAAACCGTCACCTAAAGCCACACCATGGCAGGCGTGAGGGAATCCACACCAGAGCACCCCTGAAGGGTGCACAGTTCTGTGTAAGGAGTGTAAGGCTGTACCCACAGCGTTCTCCTGACCTTCTCCCGAGGCATATAGGCAAGGGGCAGGTAGAGTCATCAAAACTTGCGCAATGGTATATACCTTGCTGACTGCTGGTCACCGTCCCCGTGCCCGGGCAGACTTTAGGCAGGGGCTGGGAGGACGGGTTGTGGGTACAACACAGTCCTCTGAGCCGCTCAGTGCGGAGCTCCACTGCCAGCCACAGCCAGGCTGCGGTGTTGGTGCTCGTGGCAGTGGCAGGCTGGCTGCTGAGCGCACCGCGCCAGGACCGGGAGCCTCCCACTTGGGCACCAAGTCCTGGAGGGGAAACCAGACGTGAAATGTGCCCAAGCAGGTGTGAAATTTTCTGCTACTTCAGCCCAGGGGTCCTCCCGCCAGCCAGATCATCCAGCAGGGGCTATCCGGCAAAATGTCTTAATGAACACCACGCCGTTGACTTGGCAGTGGGACCTGTTTAGTTCTTGTACGCAGTTGGTTGTGTCTCCTGTGGGGACGAGGGTGTTGAATCCTCGCCGTCGCCTTCACTAACCGCGCCATCCTTGCAGCCTGTACCTGGAGACTGTGTGAAATGCGCAGTTAGGAAATTTTATTGTCTCACATGATCATGGCGTTGTCCGTCAGCACTGTCTCTGACTTCACAGGGGTAGGAGAGGGCAAGTGCCCGGTCCTCTGCTTAACGTTGCTGTATTTCTGGTTTCTTCAGTTGCTGAAACGTTATCTCCTCCCTGCCATCCCGGGGGACAGCAGCATTGACTGGAGTCCCGTCCTAGCACCTCCCTACACCCATGCTTATGTGTGGGCTTCAAACCAGAACTTTCTTGGCTGTTGAAAAAAGTCTGTTGAAATATTGGAAGAAAGATGCCAAGAAAGACTGTTGCTGAAATCTCTTCATCTAGGGCAGAAAACAGAACCTTGAGACAGGCGTGGGAGAAGAAAATTAAATGAAACCTCTGGTTAATCTGATGTTTCAAGTTTCAGAGAGGCACCTGAACATCTGGATAATTCTTCAAACTGGACTTCATCATGTGAACGTTAATCAATATAAATGGTCCTTGCAGTTCCGGGTGGAGTTAAAAGCAACGTTAATGTGTCAGTCCTTGATTTGAATTCTGATGTGCAGCCTGATGGCTACCATGGCAATTGCTCAGGCACGTTTCCTGGGGCTTGTGTGACTTTTCAGATGGAGTGTAGTGTTAGGGACTGCTTGCTGGAGACGGAAATAGTGTGCATCAGATTCTGCTGCCAGGACTCTTGCTCTGGAGGCTACTGCTGTCCAGGAGGCAAAACGAAATGTGTTGTTCAGTGTTTGCCCAGAGGGCAGAGACTACCATGGAAAAAAAGAGCTTTATAGTTTTAGGTTTCATATTCTTCTCTGGAGGCTGAGGTGGTGTGTGCTGCACCCCCTAATGACTAACCTGCCCTGAAGGTATCTCTTACCGGTGGCTGAGGACTGCGCAATTGTGTTATTAGAAATTCTGCCCTGGGGTACAATTACATTATTGCAGTCATTAAAGGCAGTTCATATCCATAATAATGAAAATCCTGCCTTGGAGGCCTAACTGAGTCAAAATAACGTTAGTGGTCTGACTCCAGAAGGTAAATTTTATATAGAAACAGCTATAGTGCAGATATAGATCTGTTGCAAATGCTGCTTGGAAACAAAGGCTATTTCTATATGGGTAAAGGTCCAGAGACCATTTCCCATCCTTGATCTTCCCTTCGCATTTCAGGGCGAAACGGCTGCTACGCTCTGTGGGAAGGGCCCTCGGTCCGTTAATGCCGCTCTGTACGAATCAACCTCACAGGGCCACTGGTAGAGTAAGGGCAGGTGAGTCCGCTGCCTGCCACAGTATCTCCCACCTTCCACGCCAGCGGGACAGGAGATGTGACTAAAATACGCCTACCCTCTGGGAAACCCTCGCTCAGGAGCGGGGGATACCTTCTAGATGGGCATGGTCACCATCAGGCTGTGCAGGCTCCGTCAGAGAGATAGCACTATACAGGTAGTGTTTAGGACCCGCTTGCCCCGGCACATTCCTCGGGCAGAAGTTGTTTTATCCGTTCAGTTACGCGTGTAACCTGGAAGTTTCAGCCAGTTGTCGAGATCTGCGGCTGGCAGGGAGTCACTGCAGCAGCCAGCGAGCACTGGGAGCGCGAGGTGGCAGTGGTGTCTTCTGGGCATTGCAAAACTGCGACGCGTCTTTGCAACATGTCAGATCGTTCATCAGATGGCAAGATTTGAGTCGAGTTCAGGATGTTTTTCACTTACCATTTGATTCTCTTATATTCATATTTCCAGATAAGTTTAACCTCTGAGACTTTTATTCTGACTTAACGGTAGGAGAACAGAGATTTTGGGCAGCTGGGATGCCATTACATAGGCATCGCTTCTCTTGTCCCAGCTACATCAGTGTGACTGGAAGTGATGCTGGACTTAAGCCTGTGAGATCGAGATGGAGAGTGTTACTGCCCAGCTGCCAGAGGAGGGCTGCCATTCAAAGGAAAGCAAAAACTCCTCGAGTGAGGAGTGCGCACGCTGTAGAAGCCAGAACCTGCGGTTTTTATGTGAATCTCAGTGGTATAATCTTATGTCTTCACTCCCCTGATTTTATGAAATAACATAGTCAACGTCAAGTTTTTGAACGGGAAATGCATAGCATCTATGGCGTTGTACGCACAAGGTGTAGGCATCATACAGGCTCTATACAGAGGCGTGGTCTTCTGCAATTACTGTACCACGTGAAGGACAGATGATTCAAACCGCACATATACTTTGCGCCAAAGCTGTCTCAGAAACCAAATCAGTCGTTCCTAGCTATCAGTGGGAGCTAGAGAGGTAGAGGGTAATTTTACATGTGATTTACTAATAGAAAACAGAAATCCATAGTTACGCACAAGTCTGGAAAAACTTCCATTAATTGATGGCCCCTGTATAGAAAAAAAGTGAATGAAATTCACTGAAGTGAATGAAAGCAAGTCCTTAATGGAGAGTCTTTCCTTTAAACTCCTGAACTCCTAAAGCCAAGCATCATCCAGTCCGCAATATTTCCCCTTTGTGACAATTATTTCCTGACTTTGCATCATATATATTATTCATCGGCAGGAGTAGGAGCGGAGGTCACGGCAGTCAGATTGTGCTTGCAGGATTTTGTTAATCCTCTCATAATAATTCAATTACATGTCATGCCACAAAGTT